GGTTACAAAACAAAACACTGCGAAATATGAGCGGTGCGCCGTGGTTAACACGAAATGCTGAAGTCCATAAATATTTAGGAATTACCACTGTCGAGGAACACATTAAAAGATCAACCGAAGATTACAAAAGGAGATTTCAGCACCACGTCAACCCCCTAGCTTCAGGCCTCTAGAAACAGCGGACTGCGTGTTTCGACTGAGAAGGGCCAGACTTGCCGCACTTTGATAGTTGCGAGTTACTAAGGGAAGACAAATTATTGGATTGGCATTCCCTAATTTCCTCAAATTTATGTCATAAAAGCAAAGAGGCTGATTGCTGATGGATAAAAAAAACAAAAAAAATCAGAAAAACAAAAGCGAATCAGAAATCGGAGGCCAATATCTTGAAGGTTGTAGCATTACTGCCCTCGATTCTGTAACTCACTTTTCGAACTCACACAGCGGTTTTCGCATCGGCGGTCGCTCTCAGATCAGTCGTGAAGCAGTCATTTTATGATTTGGCATTCTGAAAAGGTGGGAGCTTGTAGTTTATTGTTTGTTAGAATGCCAAATCATAAAATGACTGCTTCACGACTGATTTCAGAGCGACCGCCGATGCGAAAACCGCTGTGTGAGTTCGAAAAGTGAGTTACAGAATCGCAGGGCTGGTAAACATAATTTGACAGAAAGGGACAAAATAGTACGTATGTTAAAAGTTATATTAATTTTGTTTTTAGTAAAGGGGTTAGTGTTTCACTTCCCTCTTTAGGCTTTATTAAAATGATGTCAACACAATTTTACTCCGACAAGAAGATAAAAGTTATAACAAATTAACGCACGTACAATTAAAAAAAAACGAATTGTACAAGCCGAAAATTAGAAGTGGTCATACGTCAACAGCGTGACGACACTGATTTTTGTGAACTCAAAGCAAAAATGCGTTTATATGAAATTCATGACCCTGGCTGTGCCATTTCCCTGTCGAGTAAAAAGAGCAAATCACAGAGCGCCTAGTAAAGTTAAAAAGGGTTTGACTTGATCAAAGGATGTAATTTGCCTCAGGCCACTGAACAAGAATATTTTTTCTTGAATTCTATCAGTCTGGGTTAAATACATTTGCCCGTTGGTTAAAAGATCATTATCTAAAGATAAACAACGCAGCAAATAAAAATAAACTTACACAATAAGTTTTCTGTTGAAGTAACTCTTTTTCTGTTTTGTAGTTTTTATTTCTACATTATCATTGTTTATAGAATGGAAATTATTAGGACAAAAGAAATTTGATTATGGACTTTTGTTTGTAGCTGGCTTTAAGAATGGTTTATACTTTTAGTTAAACACTTAAGTTTATTTATTTAAAGTAACAAGTTCACTAAGTTGACAAACAAGTTGGCTAAGCTGGAAATAATTTGTGACCTCTATGATAGATGCGGGCAGCGTGCATAGTCACAATATTACGAAAAATTACAAACAAAATCAAAAGAACATTATGAGTTAATTGATAACAGAAATCAGATAACTCGGATGTGTAAAAAATATCCAGATTGTTTTAGCCCTTGACAGGAGCGTAAAACCCTTGGTTGAACTAGGGCTAATTCGAATGTACAGTAACATCTACCGTTAACATAGTTTGACTGAAATTAAATATAATTTGTTTACATGTCGGTCAAATGTGTTACATGTGTTAGGGGCTAGTTGATCTAGTTCTTAGGGTAGGAAATTAAACACTCCAATGATGACTTGATTCACTATAATTCACACATTGATTTTACGTAAACTGTATAACTTCAAACTTGAACAAAGGAATTGCCTGTACGCATGTGTTACAACCTCTTTTATCATCTAGTCCCCACTCCAACTCGACCTTCCCGCTTCGGGCAGTTATTCGAGTCAATTCGTAACAATTCGTAAATAACCGAACGAGTCAAATGAGTAATTATTGCACATGCGCACTTGTAGCAAAAGAATATGTTTCATAAAAATGTTTACAATTTAATTAAATAAATATTAAAAGCTAACACATGTATGTGAAAGACAATAATGCAAATATTTCTTACAATGGAAAACTCAAAATTTCGTCTTGAGCGCTGTCAAATGTGTCAAACCGGTCCGACCCTTGAAATTATATTTAAGTTTGACGTTCTAGACTGAGTGTCACTTTTTTTGAGATGACATAAAAAAACGAGTTGATCATGACTTACAGACCCGAGCGGTAACGCAAGTTTGGTTCTGTACATCGAGAGCAAACAACGTATATGGCTAGAGAACGTTGAGGTATTTGCTACCACGGCTAATAAATGGACTAACCACAACATAAAAAGTAAATTAAAAAACAAATTTTATATGCATTTGTCGGGTTCCTAAACAAGACTGCTATGGCTGCATACAATGCTATTACATTTATACCAACAACAGCGGTTTCCTAATGTTACATGTTATGATTTTATTATATTATTCTGTAAAATAAAGAAATTAAAAAAAAGGTATCTAATGCCAAAACAAATGAACATTGTCGCGATAGCACACCATTAAGGGATTTAGTCTTTCTGCCAAATTGTGTGTACGCAGTAACGAAGAGACGGTAAACAGTGCTTTCATTAAATTGGTGTAATTAGTTTTTCTGAAAACGCGATATTTCGTTACGATATGTTTTTTGTCGTATGTGTGAAATATGTGGCTGAATGAGGTAATAAGGATATAACTAGAACCCATTAATAATAGATAGTAATCCTGTCTCATTCTGCTTCGTCAGCGCCGTATATATTCCGTAATGGGATCCGGATATCCTGAAGATCTATTGATAAGTTATTACTGTAATATGTTTTTATTAATAAGCTTTTTAATAATAAATGATTCATACGTGTTCATCATACGAAATCGAAGTACGAAATTGGGCTTTTGTTGAATCGTTACTAATTTCTTTAGTCAACGTTTATTTCTATCGTGTCAGAAACGTGTGATGCCATGTCATTGACCATCTTTCATGTGTCAAAAGTGTCAAATGACAACTGACAGGTATCAGCCAATATCGCTACAGATATTATTATAACTTTCATGATTCTAATTTTGTAATAAGTCTGAAGCAAAATTCATAAACATCGATTTAGAGGCGAAAAGCCTGAAATAGAATCACTTTTATATACCTGGCGATAAAATGTTGTCTTGATACACAAAATAACGACACGAGTATTCTTAAATATACGAAATCAATATTTTTATTGAAGTTAAAAATATATTCTCAAATTATGTACGTTTTATGTCTTGCGTTAACTCCGCTTCTAATTACGGTTGACGACTTAGAAATAATAAGTTCAAATATTCAATGTATCTTAAAATAGAATATTCCATTACTAACTCAAAGAAATCATAAGACCGTTAACTAATTTTCGTTTGCTTAAATATTTGTACAATCTGCGGATTCGTATTTTTATAAGGTTGGAAAGGCCATTAATTGAACATAATATACCATAGCCAGTGCTAGTGCTATATATTTTACAATATTGCATTATCATATTTTTTTTTTTCAAAAAAAAGGAAGTGCATGACGAAGAAAAATTATATTTTCTGAACTTCTGTTTGGCATTTACAATATTGATATTTAAAAGAACTTTAATTTGAAAAAAAGTTCTATCATAACCGTCCCACCGAAGAAGACAAAATTTGTACACTTTGGTGCAAGGTGGTTATTTGGTTTACATTTATAGATATTTATTCTAACTATTGCAATACTCCCTTCTAGTAATCTGTTATTGTTCCTGTGGCCTGTGGGCAGTGCGTAAGAAATTTTTTGAAGATGTTCAGTGTTCGATAAAATATTTTAAACAATTAAGCATCATCGAAGTTACGTACTTCTTTAAACTGTGTAACTTTTAGCATAAGATCATAGGCATCAGGTATAAATAAATTTCAATTGGATTAATAAAATCTCATAATAAACTACAATAATCTTAAAAACCTGTCAAGTTCATGGCACAACGTAAAAACATATTTGTTATCATATTCTTGTACAAAAGTATATAGTCAACGATAATTGAAGAAATTCACGTAAAATTATCTCCAACATTCTTGAACATGATAACCTAATCTACTAGATGTCACGACCGACTCGTCTGGCGTTTGAATTGAAATTCTGAAATTACGAGTATGTTGAAATGATATTCATGTACTATTAAATGTTTTGGATAAAATAAGAAATTTCTGATATATTTGACATAATAATTGAACGGTTTTGTGAATTTTGTTTATTTATTTATGCTTTAAATAGATTGACTAGGTTTGAACGCACGACCTCAAGGTTGAAGAACACTTAAATATAACATTTATTTCTCTTGTTTTTTTTTGAGTGGTTAAGGTTTTGTTGTACTGTATCAAGAGTAAAAATTAATATCGTATTTATCTTAATATATATATTTCTTCTGTGCGTGTGTATGTGACTGAACTCCTCTCAAACGACTGGACCGATTTTGATGAAATTTTTTTGTGTGTGTTCAAGGGGATCTGGGAATGGTTTAGATTCACAAATCAGCCCGGCAGATGGCACTGCAGTCGGTACTTTCATACTTTGCTTAATATCCTAATCGCTTTAAATATCATGCAGGACAACGTCTGTGGGGTCCACTAGTATAATATAAAAAAACACTTTGAACACACAGATAAGTATTTTGAGATTTGGAGAAACTATCCGATCTATTTTTAAAGGAGTTCAAAGATGGTGCACTGATTACACTTTCCAGTCGGCCACTACTCGGTTTGGGAGAAAGTTTTTTTAGGGAATTTGTGCTATGTTGTGTTATATATGTATTATGTTTTAAGAAAAAGCTATCTTAGAGATGGTATTACATTTCAACGATACTATTTCAAATTAATTTTATAATTGTGTTGTGTAAAAATTTCTTCGTTTGGCAATTTTATAAATCTACTTGGCACTATATTAAATTTCCTTGTTCCAGATTCAAATGTGAAGTAATATGACCATGAGTTACTGTTGTGGCATAAGATTATTCGTCGCGTAATGTGACAGTATGACAAGGTGGTTAGCGATGGTCGCTTTGCTGATGGTCGTGGGTGCTGTGAGGGGGTACAACTGTGTCTGCAATCCGAGAGAATGCGAGGTGTTGGGTCCGAGTGGCTGTCCCGGGCTGGGAATGGTTGTGTGGGATCCGTGCAGGTAATCTTCTACTTTAATAATACTAAAAGATTTTTTATAGATAATTTAAGTTCAAATACAATTTATATCATCTCAGGTATCTGTGTTTTGTTTTTTGGCAAAGGGCTTTTCAAATCCCGCCATTTCTGTCTGCACTGTGCCACTCTCTGCCGTGTACCACCTGCTGTTTCCTTAATCTGATCTATCCACTTTCTAAATCGTAGTCTTCTAAATTAAACGTCTTCCTCTTATGCCTATATTATACCTTGGGTACCAGTTTATTATTTTATTGTTCCATTATTCTGTTCCTCTTGCCCTGTGCTCCCCGTCTATTTCCACAATCAAACTTTAATATAATGGTACGATAATATTTTCAGTATATCATTTTATAGTTCAAGGGTGAATAAAGAAACGTAAGCTGTGTATCATTTTCGTTCGGTAAACCTCCAATCGAATGTTCTGTCAACTCTTGTCACGTGTAGCAAAACGATCTTTAACAATGAGGCTTCTTCAATGAATTTGAGAGTACGGCGATTAATTACTAAATTGTATATTTGTTGGTTATAGTTTTTTTGATTTCTGCTCCAATTTGAATTTTTTACATAGAACCATTTATACATTACTTGCACAATTACTTAAAAAAGCAATACAAAAAAAAACAAAAACACTTGATGAAAAAGAAATATCAGACATAAAGCAAGTCAAAGGTCTCTTAAAATATTTTTTTAATATTCCCGTAAATGTAGAGAGAAAAGGAATATTTGCTCATAAATATTTGGTTCTATACTATATTAATAACATAATGATTCTATGTAAGAAATAATCTAGATTATTACAAGTTCTAAACTCGTCTTCATTAGTTCGGTAGTGGCCAGGCTTAAACTTCAGCCGTGAACTTGAATGGATCTACTAATGCAATTAGATAACTTTCTATTCCACGCTTTGACATCAAAGGATTTGCAGTTAGTAGTTCTAATTTTAAAATGTAGCTTATTACTGATTGTGTTTGGTGGAGTTAATGTGTGCAGTATTGACTAGATTCAGAGACTCGTATGTCAAAACCAATACATTTTTTAAGAACTGGAATCTTACTTACCGCTAGTTTCTGAATCTGACCCTTAGAGTTAAGGGGCCAGCACTCTTAGGCGCTCAACCTCTCTTTAGACTTCATTACGGTCGTGCCTGTCTTGAAGAGCCCTAACCGATAAGTTGGCTTTCAGCCTCCACACCAGTCTATCACACTTGTCTTACTGCATTAGAGATGATGAGACCCATAATTGTCTTTATTTGGTTAGACCAACTGGTAGGCGATAGATCTCGACTTCTCCTGCCATCACTCCTCTCTACCATAACCAGCTTGTTGAGACTATTCGGTTCTATCCTGGCAAATGGCTAAAAGTAGCTTAGCACCCGTTTGTTAATGATAGTCGACAGTCTTATGATCTTTAGTTGGTTAAGAATGTACTAATTAGTTATTTTTGCAGTATCGGAAACAATCTCCTACAAGACCACATCTCGAATGCCTGTATATTTTTTTGGGTAGCTGCTTGAATTGACCAGGACCTTGAATTGATTAGGTAGTATTCGACTCGTTTCTGTTTTGCCATATTCTGGTCAGTTTGCTCATTGCTGCTGTATCGAATTGTGTTCGCCTATTTCCCCATTACATCCTCCCTGGTTACTTATGAGGGATCCAAATACAATATCATCCACGAATTCAAAGACCACCAGTTCTCCAAAACGTTTGAGGAGTCCAGCCCGTTCCACTATCATGACTTTAGTCTTTAACCCTATTAATAAAAAGACTGATCATTTCGCTTGCTTGCCGTTCGGAGAAGGCAAATAACGTTGTGTCAACTGCGTATCGAAGGTTGCTAATTTTGTTGATTTCATTCGAAATTTCTCCATCCCAATCTCAGGTAGATTGGGAAGCGCAAGGAAGGGACCTAGGAAAACCAGTTTTTTTTGTAACCATTTCCATGGCTTCACGTTTTGCCATACGATATTTTCGTACCATACGTTCTTAGTTATATCAATCTTAATCAACATGCTTTTACCGGTAATCGAACCCAGAGTATACGGAGCCGCCATGAGCGTTATTAATTAGGGCATGGAGGTATAATAAAAAACGAACATCGATCCGAAATTTATACGTTTATAAGGATTTTTTTAAAATGAATAAATTATATTTGCAATGCTTTGAATATACACCATTCATACGAGTTTCTGCAAGAACGTATACCGAGCAATTAGAATTTATACTAATTTCCTTATAGGTGCTGCCAAGTATGCGCAAGGACGGTGGGTGAGCACTGTGGCGGTTTCAAAGGAACGTGTGAGCCAGGTCTTAGGTGTAAAGGCGGCTTGTGTGTGAAGATAGACAGAGACGAAGACGACGTATAGTATATATTTGTACAGAAATATTAAGACATATCTTAAATGTTGTAAATTAAAGGACCAGTACTAACTCATTTAATACATCGCTTAGTACAATCATGTAAATTAACCATATTAAAAAACGTACATAATTAAAACTATATCAAACAAGTTTCCCTGTTTGAAATTTTAACGAATTAAGGTTTTATATCCTCGAAACAGTTGAATGATTCATTATCAACAAATCTTAAATATCTTGATTGATAAACATAACGTTCTAACTCAAGCTTGGCAAACAGTACATTGCGATATATAAATGAGTTATAAGGCTACAACATTCGCTTTTGTCGTGCGACAATAACTCGAATGGATACTTAAGATAAGCTGCATTCCATTATGTTCTGCAGATTTGTTAAATGATAAGTTGCGAGCACAAATTTAATTTTAATGACCGTGATACGATATCGTTCATTTCAACTCATGCTACACTTTATTATTTTACATAATTAGCAATTTTATTTAGTTCATGTAATATTTGTGGATTTTTTTTTGTTGTCTTATTAAAGAGGTATTTTTATAAGCTAAATAATCAACTTGTTATGTGTTTAAATAATATAATGGAGACGTGTACTATTGATAGTTTTATCTGAAATGTTTCTGGTTTTGTTGATTTCGATCTTTGATTAATAACTCCGAATTTCACGATTGCGAAACGTTTAAATGACAAACTACCATATTTCGAAAAAAATGACTGTACTAATTAAAAAAATAACTTTTCCCTCCAATGGAAATGTTAATTTGATACAAGGCACTAAAGCATTTACTACGCAAATTCAAAAATATGAAATAAGGTTGCCATGACAACCAGTCCATAAAGCTTTCAATCAATAAAACCTTTTTTCTATGGCACCTAGTGCAGTTAACGCTGGTTGTAAAGTGACATCTTCCTTTGTGCTCCAATAATTAAGTTATCTTTGAAATTTTCCACTCGCTGAGTTTCATTTCAACCCAAAAATTCGCTTTCAGACAATGCGAACCCTCCTCTACATTTCCAAGCCACATGGCTTTGTAGACTATTTTAAATCTGCAAAGCGTCTAGACTCAAACTTTGATCATTAAAAACTTTTTGCTCTGATCTTTTTCGTTACGCTTTTATTTGCTTAGTAATTTGTTTAAATGTTCTATGTATGTTTCACCTTGTAAATAAATAACGTTGGCTTTAGTTTATTTTGTTATATTTGTACAGTCGGTATCTTTTCACATTCACTTTATTTTTTACGCTGTACCTGTGTACGTAGTTGTAAAACTTCTTATCCCTTTCCAAACATTCATTACGGTTACATAAAAAACACTAAGGGAGCGTTCAAGTATTACGTAACGCAATTTTTGAAGATTATTGACCCCCCCCCCATGTAACTCACCGTAACGTTTTTCAGTACCCAAGTATAGTACTGTTCCCAAGTCTAGTAAAACGTTTCGTGACCACCTAGTGACTTTTTAGTTACTATTATGTGGTGTAAGTAGAAAATAATATTAACAATATCGCGTTTATTCAATCACCGCCCCGCATCGTAACGTTTTACAAAAGGAACAAAAGATACATATTATTGTCATAAATATCTATAGAATTCTTATCAATGTACAGACGTAAGCCATTTAAATTCTGTATAGTTATTGTAACGTTTCTGTGTGCTTCCAGGATATAAGTAGGTATAAGTGTAAATAGGACCTTTTGTAAATAATATCCGATTAGCATTTTTATCTCCATTATTATAAAACCAAATTAAACTTGTAGAAACTGATATATAGGTATTATATTTTCTTGATAGAAATTTTAAATTTGTATAGACAATGTAGGTAAATTTAAGAACTATAATTAATTAAAAATCATTATAACTAAATAATCTTACTTTATAAGTTCTGTTACATAACATCATTTGAAAGAGACGATTGATTTCAGTTGATACAATAAGAAAGTTATACCGTTACCGTGAGTTACCATGGTTACCATTCTCTTAAGGAAGAATCGTAACCATGGTAACCGTATGTACTTTTTAAAATAGACCGATTTTGTTTACACGAACGGGTAATATTACGATCGCCAAAAACTTTATTTTTTATTCATTATAACATTATGCAGTAAGTATATCTAGCCATCACTTTCTTTTCAGTCGCTACAAACAGAGACAGTTATATTTTGGACCTGTTATGTTCGGTTTACTTTATCTTGTTTCCTTAAATAAATTTATTGAATACTATATATCCTAGATTGTATCTGTATATCTTGAAGCTACTTGTTAAATGTGCACTTCACGAATAAAACTAATATAAATTTTACGTGTTTTAATAATTTCCTAAACGTTTTATCAGGTGTTGTAATATGGAGTACAGTCTTAGTCGCTTGAAGCAGCAATACTCAACCAAGTGGTTATGCATACCAATCACAATGCACCGATGACTATTACTTGATCAGTCTTCTGTCATGTATGTCTGTCTGAAGATCGGTTTCCTCACCATGTTTGCCGTCACTGTACGGGTGTTAGATGCGCAAATAGACAGACTGTAGATTGGTGCACAGCAGGGGCTTGTACCTACGATCCTCAGGAATGAGTGTCTCACCCTGAAGCCACTAGGCCAACTATGCTCTCTGATTACTGACCTATTAAAAATAAAAAGTTCACAAAACAGATAGAGAAATCAGTGGCTAAAGGTTTGTAGCGCCACTGTTGTTTTTGTATTATGACGTCACATTTACTATCATTGAGCCTGTAATATAACATACCCGGCAGCACCGCTTTAAATAATCGACCCGTTTAGTGTTAAATAAATACACCAGCGGACTGGATAGCCGCTGTGCCGTACACAGGAGGAGGAGGAAGGTAATATATGTACCAAAAGTAACAAATGTATAGACAATATTCATAAATCCGATCATGACATACCGGCTGTAACTGTAATGAAAGAAAAGTATTTTTTTATTCAATATTTCTGATCAAATCTATAAAAAATACAAGTAATTATAAATCTAAACAATACTTGAACACACACAAAACATCATCAAAATGGGTCCAGCCGCAGCAGGTTTCGGAGGGGTGTAATTACAAACACCAGCAGAAGATTTATATATCATTTACAAAAAATACACAGGTATTTGAACATATACATTGTTAAAGTATTATTTAATGGAGACCCCAAGTTAGTCATGGTATATTATATAAGTCTTCCATTTTCCTATAAACAGAATATTTCAAGTGTGGATTAAAAAATCACGAAAACACAAAAGATAAATAGAGAAATGTAATCGGATTATTAATGGTCTTACTTTCTTATACTCGTAATTATATTAGCCAATAAATACACACAGAACAATACCTGTTATTTATAAGTTTAATAAAGAAAATATGAAAGCGTACTAATTATTACGGCCAGAATAAACATAAATAATGTTGAGCGGTTTTTGCAGTACTCCATTAACCCAGATCACGAACTGAACTTATGGTTAAGTTCATTAGTGCTAGGAGTCCGTGTAAGCTGACTTACCTACTGAGCAAATATTATGTAACTGGGGTAAATACTGAGAAATTAACTGTGTGTTTACGTAGTATAAAATACATCAGTGATGCCACAACCTTTTTATTCATTTATTATATTTTAGGAAGATTTACAGTATTTTAACAAACAGTAAATTCCAATAATTTAATTGTCAATCAAGTATACAGTATTTACAATTTTCTTAACCTACAAAGTAATAATAGAAATAATTACAAATAATTACAAATAATTACAAATAATTACAAATAAATACAAATAATTACAAATAATTACTACCTTTTTTAGTTCCTCCTCAGATTTCTGTATCTGTTTCATGATTATTTGTCAATCTAATAGGCAAGTAGGTGATCAGCCTCCTGTGCCTGAGACACACCGATGACTTTTTGGGTCATAGGCAAGCCGGTTACCTCACGATGTTTTCCTTCACTGCTCGAACGAATGTTAAATACGCACAGATAGAAAGTCTGGGGATCGAACCTACGACCTCAGGGATGAGAGTCGCACGCTGTAGCCACTAGGTCAACACTGCTGTGTTTATGTAGTATTAGACATTTAATATGTTGTTATGTGCAGCAAATTTGCACTATAGGGATATTTGGTTATTATTCGAAAAGTGTAGTAAGTTATATCAAAGATCTATTGGAGCCGTTGTTAATAGTAGTTATTATATTGAGGTACACGAATACTTGACAAAAATATTGGGGAATTTTTACTAAAGGAAAAACAAAAATAAATTGTTTCCTCAAATGTAACAATTTTCTGCCAAGAATCGAACTGGAGATTTATGTGCTCTAATGTTACGAGGTGGGTGAACTATAAACATAATATTGCCATATAAAGAGCCCCAAATGTAATCATTCTCTTTTATTTCTTACCAAGTAAATTATGCTAAGGAAAGCCAGACACGTTTTCCTGCAATTGAATTTTCTTTATAAATTTTAGTTTTTACACACTTTATATTAGCTTCACCTGTATGTATGTATGTATGTAACCGACTCCTTTGGACTCGATTTTGACCCACTTTTAACGGACAGATTTATTTATTTTTTTTTTTTAATTGACATAATTTTATTTACACAAATACAGTATTTACAATGTTCTTAACCTATAAAGTAATAATAAAAATAATTAAAGAAGAAAGAAGAAAATCAAAACAAATTTAAAAAGTTTGGTCCCTGTGGCAGTGTACCTTTAACGCTGGCAGCATTTCCTCGCTGTATTGCGAGACTTATTCTTTGAGCCAGGAAAGTGCCAGCTCTGTGGTCACCGGTACTATCTACCAGGCGCCAACTTAAATCTTTAATAAGCACCTGTGCACTTGAACCCCACGGCCCAAGAGTCTCTACTCCAAAGGGAACAAAATTGAAGTTGGAGGAAAGACTCTTATATTTGTGCCGTTTGTTAATTTCTGCCTGTTCTGCGGCCGCGCCAGCTTTTTTGCTTGTCCGAAGGAGATGAGACGGGGCAAAGGTGTC